GACATCAAAATAGAGAATACGGAAAACATTATTTTGTACAACTAACAGGTTGGTATTTTCCCTCTTATTAGTTTTTTTTTTAACATTTTGTAATTTGAAAATTTTTCCTTCTTAATTTCTCTCTCTCTCTCTCTCTCTCTCTCTCTCTCTTTTGTAATTGAAATTAATTCAATTCTGAAGTTAAGTAGATCCAAATAAAATGTACAAATTCAAATTTTAAAACTGATCTGGTGAAATTTCTACGAAGTACAATGCGTGTTAGTTTCTACTCGTTTAATCTTTGAAAAAGTTGAATAAAAAGATTCCTTTCAATATCTCGGCTTAAACTTTCTTAAGTTATAAACAAAAAAAAAAATTTTAATTTAAAAATTTTCATTCAAAAATCTTTTTTTTTTTCGAAGAACAAATTTCAAGAATATAAAGAAGAAATTGTAAACGTTCTATGATTTTCAATAGTCTACCCTAATACTGAAACCATCCTTATTGATATAATTCACTTCAAATCCCACTTTTGTGAAATTTTTAATAAAAAATTAAAAACCCACGCGGTTAAAACATCCATTTTAATCATTTAAAAATGAGCCAAGTTGTTATTTTCAATCTTTTTTTTACTTAATTTTGTTTGAATCATCTGTCCTTAAATCAAAACTTTATTCATGTATTCGATTTTTCAAAAGTAAAAATGAACAGTATTTCACTTTTGTAAATATAGAATTATTTCAAAATAATAGAACATTAAATATTTTTAAAATTTGAATTGCTAAGGATACATGTCCATATAGCAATTTACAAATATCAATATTGAATACAACATACATAGTCGTCGAACGATTTTCTAACAATAAAAACTTTTTAGGTCTTTCCACCTTTCTGTGGAAAGACCTATTGATTTCCTTCTGTTTCTTCTTTTTTATTATTTTTCCGCCGTGTGATTTTTTGTTTCAGGATTTATCGAAAAGATTTTTAGTCGATAAGAATGTACTTTGTAAAAGATTATTGCAGTTCACCCTGCGTAAATGAACCCTGACCCCTTTCGAAGTTATTGCCCCTTTCGCAAGAAATACTTGTTATCGCTACTCCTCTGAAACCGTAAACCGTAGAGGTATGAAACCTTTACCAATGTCTTTGACTAATTAAGGGGACTCTTCAATCTATTCATTGCGAAAGTATTCGGTGACCACTTCAATGATTTATTGCCCCTGAAACTTTTTGAATTTTACAAATAATTAAAAAATTTTAAAATGAGAAGTCGTAAAGACATGGGACCAACTGCATAAGATTCATTGACCTTTGACCTTAAAATTCATGTAAAGGTCAAAGGTCAAGGTCATTCCAAAACTGAGAAATTAAGCTCTTTTTATATCTCTTTTGTCTTTTAACATATACTTAACGTCTATGCATCATTAACATGTACTTTTAAAACTGTTTCAAAGATTTTACTCTTGTCCCCTAACATTTACCCCTTTAAAAGTTATTGCCCCTTGTGCGAAAAACCTTGTTATCGCTACTCCTCTGAAACCATAGACCGTAGAGACACCAAACCTTCACTAATGTCTTAAGGGTCTTTAGGCCTAACTTCACTGTATAAGTGCAAAAGGATCTCATGACCTCTTATATGAGTTATTGCCCTTTTACTTCTTTGTACTTACTATTAAACCTTATAACTTGAAAACTATAAGTTGGAGAAGCATGCGGTCAATTCCATTGTGACCCTTGACCTTTGACCTTGAAAATTTTTTCAAGGTCAAAGGTCAAGGTCATTTCAATTTATTTTTTAATTTTCTTTTTTTTATGCTTAAAGAGAGTTTTGGTTTCTTTTTCATTGAATTTAATTTTTGGAGTCAGATATGAAACAAATTTGAAATTCAAAGAAGGTGGAAAGACCTCTTATTGTTCTGTGAACAATAAGTATCCTAGTTTTTTTATATTTGCGCATGCAGTGGGAAAAACAAACTATAAACGAAGTTTGATGTAAAGATTATATTTATATGCTTGTTTATACATATAGTTTATACATGTAGTACATGCATTTATGTGATAACATAAAATCTAATAGAAAATGAATACAGTATATGTGATTAAATTCATTAAGCATCAAGTACAAAACATTCATTAAATACAGAGGTCTATGATAAAAATGTTATCTTTTTGATAAAGAAAACTTTGATTTTCGTGAACAATATACATGCACACTGTATTGTTTTAAATGAGTCTTCCTCTACACAACGAGTCTTCCGTTTAATAAGTGTTATAAATCACTGTTTTAACTCATTTAAAATTTATTTTCGTCTATGTTATAGCACTCTAACTGGAGCTTAGGTAACTTGAATTAACACATTTATGAAGGTTATAAGTAGTTCTAGTGATAGTCTCCTTTTTCTTATGCTGTACGTCCTTCATAAGCAAGAAAATTACATGGACACAAATTGCACTCTGCGCCTTCTAAAATAGTCCTCCAGAAAGTTAATCAATATCTCCATCTGCTGTACATTTGCGTTCATAGCATCCTTCAGCGATCTCAAAGTTCGCAGCTCCTCTTGTAGGGGGTAGGTTGGATGTGAGGATCTCTGCGTCATTTTTCTTTTTAGCTTGTAACGTCTTCTAGAATACATTAAAAGTGTCTTTTTTAATATTGATGTATGATGAAAGTGAATTTAACATTTAATGAAAATAAATATTGATGCGATGTATGATGAAAGTGAATTTAACATTTAATGAAAATAAATATTGATGTATGATGAAAGTGAATTTAACATTTAATGAAAATAATTCAATCTTAAAGAATACTTGTTACAAAATACATTAAAATAGAAATTGGTTCAATTTATGAGGAAAAATACGGCTTAAATGCTCACCTTAATTCTGTTAAAATTGAGTCCTCCACACCGCTGAATGCCCCCTGGCTTCCTTGTGTCGGGGACTTGATACAGGTAGCTGTCTCCATGGCTGAAGAGTCCGTGAAAGCAGCAGCCGTACTCTTTGGCCCGGGTGATATTGGGGAAAATGCTGGGTAGACATCTTTTTTAGGGGCACCATTTGGAACCGAGTTCCCTCGTTTCAGAGTGGGAGTTGCCTCAGTAACTGTAGGTGTTAAATATTTTTGGAACAGCACGCTTTCGTCCTCTAAGTCTTGGAAGTCGAGGCTTGGAAAGAGTTGTGGCGGAGAGTTACTGAAAATGAAACAATATAAAAAATTGCATAAATTTTCGTTCCTACATGTATTTTATTCAGATGAATTATAGCTTAAGTTTCTGCAATTTATATCACTAGTGAAGATAGTCTACATTCTGGACTGATTTTGTTTCATTACACTTTCCTTAACAATACGTACATGATATATACATATATATACTTTCATGCTTATTGAATTATGCATACTTATTTATGATAAAAATGATTATATATATACATAAATCTTTTCTATATTTCTAATAAAGTTTAAGATTTTAATATACATACCTAGACTCGAAATTCTTCTCGTCAAGTTCATTTTGTAAGTCGTTCCATAACATTTGGAATTCAGAAAAGTTCTTTGATGAATTTTTCTGTTTGGGTTGTTGTTGTGGCTGCTTTTGAATTTCCTGTGGTCGGTCTTTTACGGGTTTTCCTAACATTTCCCTCAGAATAGGATTTTTATTTCTCCCCTCATTTTTCTTTTCAGCATTCCTAATTAAAATATAAGAAATAAAATAAAGTTTTTTCAGGAAATGAAGGTTCAATTACATGTATATAAAAATATGTCTTTTTAGTGACAAAAATAATTTAATGTTTTTGCTTACCAAAGTTTAAAATGATGCATGGATAAAAATTTACACACTTATTTTAAAAGTTTATTCATTTTGTCCATTTAAAAAAAAAGTTTTTAAGACAATGGTATTAGTCTAAATGACTCTTTTAAAAAACACACTCAAAAACGTTCAAATAATTATGCCCCTTTTCAAGTCTTTTTTTTTAAGTTAAAAAAAAAAAGAGATAAAGGTAAATAAATTACTTACATGAATGATAACTGAGCCTCTGCCATTTTCACAAACTAAGTTTACTACCAAAGGATCGTCAAATAACTGTTGAAAAAACTGAATTGAAAAAAAGTTACCTTCTCAAACATTTATATACCGTGCTTGTAACCTGTTTTTAAAATATTATGACCTGACCTTAATAAATGATCTTGAAATACTTTAGTTTTAATACGCATACAGGTCACTAACATCTGCATATTATTTTGGAGATTGTGTCGATATTTTGGCGCTAAAAGAGTTACTGTGTCAAGCAATGGTATATGATTAATGCTGACTTGTTACTTTTCTTAGATATATTTTTATAGTAAGTAGTATATTAATGTTCCGATAGTGTTAACTAAAAAAATGATAATAATCATTCAAGCCAAATGATTGTATTGATGATGTTGATTATAATTACGACGAAACATATACAATAGGAGCAAATCTGGATCACCTTTTTTAGTGACCTTGAACTTTTGAGAAATTGTCATTATTAAGCGCGATTAAAAAACACGCAAGTTTGGAAAGAATCAGAAATAAATTTAAAGACAAAGAGGGAAGAGCATATCCAACTCCAATCCTTTATGAGCAATATTGGACAGTTAGTGTAATGGCTTTTAAAATTATCTAAATTGATAAAGGTATATAAATTATAAATAGTGGTAATTAATTATTTATTTATTATAATTCTTCTTCCTTTTATCATGATTATAATTATTGTTTCAACGTATATTTGTCGGTAAATTCAGTGCATTTTTATATCTTAAACTATTAGTACTCAGATCTACTGTACTTTTGGTCTTTGTGAATTTTGAGATCCGCGCATATTTGGCTGTTCCCGCGGTTTATTGAAAACGAGGTTAACCTCATTACTTCAAAAAACATGGTGTTTGGCTGCAGAATGTGGATTTTGGCTGCATCAGTACTAGGCCTAATATGTTTAAGGTCAAGTGTGGCCGATCCGATGTGCATTAAATGTTCGAAATTATCAACGACTGCAAAATGTTTGATGCCGGCACCGTGTTACAGGGTGTACGGGTTCGTAACAACCGTGTTAGTAAGGAGATGCAACACTCCAATTTTCTTTTTTCCATCAACGGGGCCACGTGCTGTGATCAAAACAGCCAACCGTGCAAACTGTGGTAAGTTTACTTTATTTAATTTACTCAACTAATGAGACTTAAGTTCGTAAAGTAGGCTGGGGGAGGGCATATTGATGGAAATAAGTTCAAAAGAACGGAGGGAAAAGGGTGCAACATTGACATGGCCTATATCATTTATTTTGGCGCCATTTTTTTATTGAATGTCAAACCTTCACTTGTTCTATTTAAAGGTCAACTAATTTAATGGGATAGGATGATAATGGAGGATGTGGGATTTCTTTTTATTTTAAGTGGAATTGTGAAGAGAAAATAAATTTACATCTACACTATGCAACATTTTTTTTCTATTGTATGATCTAAAAAAGCATATTCTAAGTAAGGATATTAAGATTTAACGAAATAATTAATTTTCAGACATTATCACAACCACAAGAATCTTAGACACACAAAGTACAGCTAGTACCATAGACCCTTACACCGGAGAACCCCACAGTACGGCGTCCACAGACCTCCAGAGTATGACCGGTACAAGAGAACCCCCCAGTACGGCGTCCACAGTACCCCCCAGTACGGCGTCCACAGACCTCCAGAGTATGACCGGTACAAGAGAACTCCCCAGTACGGCGTCCACAGAACCCCCCAGTACGGCGTCCACAGACCTCCAAAGTATGACCGGTACAAGAGAACCCCCCAGTACGGCGTCCACAGACCTCCAAAGTATGACCGGTACAAGAGAACCCCCCAGTACGGCGTCCACAGACCTCCAAAGTATGACCGGTACAAGAGAACCCCCCAGTACGGCGTCCACAGACCTCCACAGTATGACCGGTACAAGAGAACCCCCCAGTACGGCGTCCACAGACCTCCACAGTACGACCGGTACAAGAGAACCCCCCAGTACGGCGTCCACAGACCTCCAAAGTATGACCGGTACAAGAGAACCCCCCAGTACGGCGTCCACAGACCTCCAAAGTACGACCGGTACAAGAGAACCCCCTAGTACGGCGTCCACAGAACCCCCCAGTACGGCGTCCACTGACCTCAAAAGTACGACTGGTACAAGAGAACCCCCCAGTACGGCGTCCACAGACCTCCAAAGTATGACCGGTACAAGAGAACCCCCCAGTATGGCGTCCACAGACCTCCAAAGTACAACCGGTACAAGAGAACCCCCCAGTACAGCGTCCACAGACCTCCAAAGTACAACAGGTACAAGAGAACCCCATAGTAATTTTAAAATAGAGCTGAATTGTAAAGAAAATTGAAATAGAGTAGAATTGTCAAGAAATTGATATAATTAGTGAACTGTTTGTACTATTACTTTTTATTGATCAGAAAAAAAAAACATTTAGATTAGGATATTTAATTAATCTTATTTATTTTTCAGGCATTTTTACAATCCGGAGTGTCATTCAAGGTACCGCCACAAAACCCAGTATTTTGTCTAGTGCAGCTGAAGATGAGAAGAAAGTTGAACAGGTGTCGGGAACTCAATCTTCTGGACAGACTTTGAGCATGGGTAATTTTTGGAACTTTGACTTGGAAAAAAAATTTTTAAGTTTTTTTTTTTAAATTCAAACTTTCAAGTTAAATAAGATTAAAAGAAAGTTTAATTATACTGTTCGTTATTTCCATATCCTTCTTCGTTCAGTGTGTAAAATTTATCTTTTTTATTTCAGATATAATTATGAAAGTAGCAGAACTGGCAACACCCATTTTGATTATTATTATGATCGTAGCTGTTCTTGTACGGAAGTGTAAGTCCCGTTCAGACTCAACTACCTCTACCACGTCACCTATACAATCCGTGCCTCCTGTGCCAGCCTCCATCTCTACCAGTTTACCTGGTTCAGGCTCTTCCACTTCACTTTTTGTTGAGGTCATGGACAATGAAACTCAAGTTTCTCCAGGTCCTGATGAACAGACAACACCAAAGAGACCCCTCGATCCAAAATCCAAGCCAAAAAGAAAACTTCCATTTAGGGCTGCACGCAACAAACCATGGAAGTAAATGAAAAACCTTTTTTCCTACGGGAAGCAACTCGTCTCAGTTGTATGGTTTTAAATTATCAAGAGTTTGTTGGTTGTTTTTTTTGTTTGGATACAGTAGAAAGCCTTGGACAATCATTTCTGTATTTTTCATTCCAAGTTGCACTGTGATTCCTTTTATGTACTTTTTTTTCTAGAATTTACACACTTAGTTGTAAAATTAAGGGAAATAGATTTTTTTGCTTAATGAGCTTCAAATGTGCTTAAGTTCTCATTACATTAACATTTTTTAGTTCATGGTCCTTAATATTTTCATTCTGTGTGATCGAATTGGGATTTTACCTTGTGCAGTAAAAGAAATGTGTTCAATTTTATAGCTGTTCACATTTACACTTTTTATTGGTAATTCTTATCATTCCTTTTGATTAAAGCTGTGATTTTTTTTCTTAAGGTATTCAATGTATAATGAAGGGATTTTGAATGATTTTAAATAATTCTCTACTACTAGTAGTTAAAAACGCATTGCTAGAAAAAAGAGAAAATTGAAATGAACCAAATTCACAAGACTGATAACATGTAAGGAGACAATCATTTTGCATGTTTAAAAAAGGTTTTGGAAGAGTAATAACCCTTTATGAAAAAAAAAAGAAATTTTTGCGGTAAATAATTTATTCTTTTTCTAAGGAGATAGTCGTTTTGCATGTTTTAAGTTTTTTGAAGAGTTATTAGACTTTGATGAAAAAAAAGAAGAAATTTTTGATCTCTCAAAAAAATTATTCTATTTCATAATTATGAAGAGGGAGTTTATGCATATTTTCACCAAGAGATTTGTTTGAAATTTAAAATTGCTTTTTACAATATCTGATAAAAACATACACGCTGGTCATTGACTTCAAGGTAAAATTCAAGGTGCAATTAATTGAACAAAAATTTGTAAATTCCTTTGGTAGAGCATTTTTATTTGATAACATCTTTAAAATATGACCATGATTAAGAATATGGGATCATGCATTTACTACGTACAAAATATCGTCGTTATACATTGAATACCTTAAATTCAACCTAAGGGGAATAACTCTTAGTGTTTGCTCAGCATGTTCAACATGAAGAAGAATAGATTGACTTGTTTGCATTTTTTTTCTTGTTTAAATACAGTGGTATGTATTTTTTATAATCCTAATTCCCAACGATTATTTTATAAGATATTAAAAGAATGTGATTTATGATGTTTTTATTTACATGCAGTATTATACACTTGAAAACTCTTTATCATTGTAAGTGCCAAGGAGTGCTAGGACATTAATGAATATTGATGTTCGATAATTTTGTAGCCATTATTGTTCCTTTTTTTGTAAAAAAAAATACAACGGGTATGTATTTTTTATAATCCAAAGTGCCAATTGTCATTTTATTAAATATATATACATGATTTACAAATTGATTACTTTTATATGCTTTTGTTTTTGTCACTGTAGAAAAACTGCACAAATAAAACATGTTTTAACAAAATCTATTTGTTGTTATTTTGTTCAATTATGTTTCAAATTGAGAGATTCTTTTTTCATACCATTATGTTGTATGTTTCATATTCCATATCTAGGCATATCTAGGGAACTTGATAGCAACATTGTTTCATTGGAGTTCACATGATATTTGCGTTTTTTTAAACGAAGGAAATTTGTTATTGCAGAATGAAAGTTTGGTTTAGTGAGGATGTAGAAGAATATATACTTCCTCCAGGAGAAGACAGAAGTTGTCCATGGATGCAGATGGCTATTGATCGTGCTCATTTCCAAAGACGAATAGAAAAATTAAAGCCTGTTCTTGAATATGTGTTAGAGAACAAACTAAGTAAAATGAAAAATAACACACATGGCCCTACCCCAACTGTCAATGAAAATAAAAGAGTTCATTAGTTGTAACAGAAAGATATAAAATGGAAAACAAAAACACAAGTAGTCTATTGCAAGAAATTCTTGAGTGTCTTCAAGATGAAGAACATATAAAATTCTTTGCAAGTGTACATGGTATAGCGGGGGATCCAGATGTTGAACGTAGATTAGAACAGGTACGGAATAGTGGGGAAAATTCTATAAAACGGCCCCGCTGTTATAGTGGTAATCTAAATCAAACTGGAAAAGGGGGAGGAGAAAGTGACAAACCCTATTTTGTGTGGAAAAAAGAAGTGAAAACTTTAAGAAAACACTGGCAAAAGACACGTCATACAAAGTGAAGTTCAATGAAAATTGGTATGGTGAAAGGTTGTTAGATATCTATCAAAATTTACACGAAATGTTCGACGATGTTTTACATCAAGCTAGGGGACACGATGCAGACCTTGGTCGCGTAGTTCTTCATCATCCAGATTTAATCAATCCAATCGTAGTACCATTACAAAGTTGGGAAAATTTAAATGCAGATACTGTTTTGAGTGAGGTGACAAAGGTACTAAACTCGAACGAAAATATCAAAGTTAATGAGGGATTATTGGTTACGTTAGGATCAATTGAAATTCCCAAGCGGGGGAGTAAATTACCAATTACATCTTTGGTAGGACCTAAAAACTCATTAGAACGGAAGAAATCAACATTTTATATTGAAAATGACAATAACAGCTGTCTTGCAATTGCAATAGGATTATGCTTCTTGAAGATATGTGAAAAAGTAGACTCAAAAACATGGGATGAATTGACCAAAAATGATACTGAATCAACGTTTGACAAAATTGTGAAGCATCGAACAGTTAAAAAGAAATTCTTTGAAAATATACTGATGAAAACAAGAAAAAAGTCACAAACTGAACTTGCAATGTACCTCTGTAAAAAATGTGGTGTATCAACTGATCGATATTTAGGGCTAAATGACATTCCACCTTTTGAGAAACTCCTGAATATAAATATTTTAGTTATCTCTTCTCGCATTGGAGACAAATTTATTAGGGTAGTGGATGAAAATGACCAGAAGTCTCTGTCGAGACTGAAGCTCTACTGGTTTGTACTTATAGCAAAGGAAGAGAAAAGTACTTAAGCAGTTGAAAATTGAAACTTTTCAACAGCAATAAATAGAATAATGATCCTTGATTAAGGTAGATCGCGGGTTTACTGTCTGCCTGAAAACATACTCTGAAAATCTGTCAGCATAATCCTCTCGTTTCAAATTTTACTTTCTGAAATTTGTTTGAGATTCGTCTGCGAGGTTATATTGTTATTGTATTTCAAAGGCACTAATGTTGATGAGAACAGGTGACGCTATTACAATGAAATATATATAGTAAATGCGCCTTTCTCGTCAGTAAACGCATTTCAAAACCATGCTCATAATATGAAAACGGCACAGACGAATTTAATATTACTCAACAAAATGAATGCGAGATAAATTTAGAATCGATCTATTAAAAAAAATTAATATGTGTTCTCGCTCATTTTCTCGCAAAAAAACTTTAAAGTTTTACAAATTGGTAACAAACGTATATAATTTCATTAAGACATTATATAACGTTAGTGCGACGTCACTATTTTCATACGTCTCAAAATCACAATGTAATTAACAATTCACTGAAAATAAAACATGTTTTATCCGTATTTTCAATTTTTAATTGATTGATAATAAATGTTTATGTAAACATTGTCATAATTTACCTATTAGAAATTGTCACACTTTTTTTCAATGATCGAAATACAGAGTCATGTTATTTGTTTTCTTGATTAACTCAAGCAGTGCTGAAAAGTTAAAACAAATCTTCAAATATATATGAGAACAAAATTATTGATTAATCCTTAATTTCTTATTACACATAAATAAATATTTTTACAGACAAAAGAAGCTTTTATGTTTGTTTTATTTTATAACGCATACTGATGGAAATAGTTTTTGCTTGTTTGTAGTTTGATACTGTAAACGTAGTAATCTTTTACGTCGAATCCTATTGTGACGTCAGCAAACCCGCGATCTACCTTAAGTCTCTTTATGTTCTTAGTGCAGTCTACTTGCATTCCACATTTATATTATAATCAGACTAAAATTGTATTTGGAGTAGCATTTTGAAAGAATTTCACAGAAATTTCTATTTTTAGTAACCATGGCAACACTGTTCATCGAAATCAAAAACCGATACACAGAATTATGTATCTTATTGTAGTCTACTTGTGTGCCAAGTTATATTGAAATCAGACTAAAACTGTAGAAGGAGTAGCATTTTGAAAGAATTTCAAAGAAATTTCTATTTTTAGTAACCAAGGAACACCGTTCATCGAAATCAAAAACTGTTACACAGAATTATGTATCTTATTGTAGTCTACTTGTGTGCCAATTTATATTGAAATCAGACTAAAACTGTAGAAGGAGTAGCATTTTGAAAGAATTTCACAGAAATTTCTATTTTTAGTAACCAAGGCAACACCGTTCATCGAAATTAACCAGAAGTCTCCTGGTTTGTACTTATAGCAAAGGAAGAGGAAAGTACTTAAGCAGTTGGGAATTGAAACTTACACTAGCAAAAAAGAGAATAATGATCCTTGAATTAGTTTCTTTATGTTCTTAGTGTAGTCTACTTGCATGCCACATTATATTATAATCAGACTAAAACTGTATTTGAAGTAGCATTTTGAGAGTAACAGAAATTGCTATCTTTATTAACCAAGGTAAAAATGTTCATTGAAGTCAAAAACGGATAAAAAGAATTATGTACCTTAGTGTAGTCTACTTGTATGCCAAGTTATATTGAAATCAGACCAAAACTGTAGGAGGAGTAGCATTTTGAAAGAATTTCACAGAAATTTCTATTTTTAGTAACAACGCCAACATCGTTCGTCGAAATCAAAAACCGATACACAGAATTATGTATCTTAGTGTAGTTTACTTGTGTGCCAAGTTATATTGCATTCAGACCAAAACTGTAGGAGGAGTAGCATTTTGAAAGAATTTTACAGAAATTTCTATTTTTAGTAACAACGCCAACACCGTTCGTCGAAATCAAAAACCGATACACAGAATTATGTAACTTAGTGTAGTCTACTTGTGTGC